TATTAAAATACCAGAGCGATTCCAAAAATGTATAAATATACGGGGTGTTCCATTTAAAAAAATAAAGTTGCTAGGACTTTTTGATGGAAGTGGCAACGCCGCAATGCTGAAAATATTTTAGATCGATAGAACAAATAAGGAAATGTAAGAAACAAAATTTTCAAAAAAATCATGCTTTGCGTTTTCCAGAAACGTCTAACCTACCATCGACCGTGAGTCACGCTGTATATTCAGTTAAAAATCCTCGAAAACTGTTAAATACTTAGATATTAAATTTATAAATAATTTGAGAGAAGGGAGAAGGAACACTTCAATCAAATCACGAAAGATAAGAGTAGTTATTATACATACAAAGTATAAGGGCAAATACAGTTTGAGGCACATCACAATTTGCATCAATTTGAAATTAATGACAAATATATACTTGAATTTCATAGGCGACATAGGCGTCGGCATATTATTTTTCAGTGGTAGTTTTTCAGTTACTTATTCTCACAATCATAACAATTGATCAACCCATGAAAAAGTTATCTCAACTGAATTTTTCCACCATGGGTAAGTATGAAAAACTTCGAAATTTGAGATAGTTGATTTCCGAGTCGAAAACTCTAAAATACAATGAAAACACAAATAATCACACCGAATTCTCGTCAAACATACATTTACAAAATAATAGAGGCCAACAAAATTGCTAGAAAAATCAAAATTCTTCGCTATATTTGGATAAGGTGGAATCATCATTGGGTTGAATAACGATCGGATTTATGGAACTTTGCACATAATATTTGTTCTCTTCTTTTATAACGTGGGCCACACAGTTCTTCCACACATCACTATTAGCTACTTCATTCACCACTCGCCTTATATTCTCAAGCACCACAGCATTCAAAGTCGGTGGCTGATTACATTTCCGCAAGCTTTCTTTCATTGTGACCCAAACCATTTCAATTGGATTGAACACACAATAGTATGAAAAACAGAAAAAAATGTTATCCGAGTCAATAGTTTCATCACATTTCAACCATTGTGACATAGTTTATGGTCCTTTAATTCGTAAATCTGATGCTTTTCGTATCTACAACGTTCAAAATTCATGTCTACGTCTAATTCTCAAACTCAAAAGAAGAGATAGGATTTCACATAAGCTTAAGGAAACGGGCTGGTTAAATAGGTCTAATCTTCGTTTACTACATTCGCGTTGGTTTTTTTTTTATAAAATCCTCAAAACTAATACACCTGAATATCTGTGCAGGAGAGTCACATACAGGACAGATATTCATAATCTTAATTTGAGGAAAAATAATCTTATTGATACTCCAATGCATAAAAAAGATTGCTATAACTGCCTGTTTACTGGATATTTCCAATTTTGCATTGTCTTTGAATTCCTTCAAAAAAAAAACAAAAAAAATATGTTAACCCACCAATGATATAACCTAGTGAATTATACTTCATATTTGTTTGCCGGTGATATATTATAGTTCGTTCAGTATTGTCTGAGACTAAAAGAATTTCAAGAATGCAAACATGTCGCTACATCAAAGAAAACATAGTCGTCTCAAGCAAATATCACTGCAATTCACCCACAAAATCACTGAGATATGTGTACCCTCTATATCCTTGAGGACGCCGCTAACGAGCCATTAAAATAGGGATATGCGACAAAGAACGCGAAAACACCGACAAAGAATGCGAAAATACCACCAAAAGAACCGCTCGATGTTTTTTCTGAGATTACGTTTAAGATAATATTAATAGGCGTCGGACTGGGGGTATTAATATACATTTTTCATTGATATATTCTGTATGATGAGAAGATAATTAAAATATGGTGAAAACTAATTTTGTTTAAATATTATTGTTACCTTCTACAGATCTATAAAATAATCAGAATATTAAATTTACAAATAAATACAAATGTAGAAAGGGCAAAAAGTTACTGCATTTGATAAATTAGCTTTTTGGAAAAAAAATCAAATTTGTCATTAACTTGAATTGAAAAAATTCTGTATATTGAAAGAAATATGTATCATCTGGTGACGTTTTAAAGACTGTATACATTTTCTTTATCCAACCTATTTAAATCAAAACATTATAATCTGAAAAAAGTCTACAGGGATTCGTTGAGTGGTTCTTCACTGGATGAATCAGTTTCATTAGGATTGATGAATATCACTGGAGTTTTTTCCCAACACCAAATCGTTATTCTTAACACCTCGACAGGTGTTTCGATCACCAAGTGATCATCTTCAAAGAGGAAGATTAAAACGTTTGATCTTCCTCTCAAAGATGATCACTTGGTGATCGAAACAAGTGTCGAGATGTTAAAATAACGGTTTGATGTTGGGAAAAAACTCCAGTAATATTCTTTATTCTTCCTCTCAAATGAAGGTTTCATGCATAATGTTGGGCCATGTTGCAATTGATCAAGCCCCAGTTACTTTGCTGTTTAGGTCGGATTTTTCCTGATCTGATGAGAGGTAGTACATCGAAACCAGTCTGTTAGGTATCTTGCGGTTTGTAGGTAAATGCTATATTATTATATAATATTATGCTATATATTAATATAATATGCTATATTATTAATATAATTCAATATCCCTCGTGGTATTAGCCGTGAAATTAGTTGTTTTCCATCAGGAATTTATCAGAAGTTGGTAGAGATAAATATTTCAAGATTTTACTGAGGATACACTATAAGAACACACTTTTGTCTATTTTCCATGATAGTTTTATATTTGTTGACTAGTTTCGGTCATTACACCATTTTCAAAACTAACTAGATTACATTCAAATCTGAGTAATTTATACCTATATTGCCTATACCTATCATAAATAATTTGGTACCTTCATTTTCTATACCTGGAATAACCTCAATTAATAGCAGTATACCGATGAACATAACAACTTTTTTTATAAAATGTAGGTTTTGGGATTTTTCTTTGACTTGTTGTTATCCATAGATTCCAACAAATTCAACATTTTCCCTTTTCCGCATGTGTGGAGCATTTTTATATTATCTTTATCTATTTTATGTTTCGAATTTTGAAGATGTTCATACATTAACGATTTTTTATCCAAAGTGACATTAACGATTTTTTATCCAAAGTGACATGTTCGTGGTACCTTGTATCGAAATTTCTACCAGTTTGGCCTGTATATAGTGTGTAACAACGAAAACTTAACAGAGAGCCGTTTTTGAATATAAAAAGTGAGATTTTTAAAAAAAGATCGGACACGTCGATTTCTAATTAAAGGGGGACACCTTTTAGACTAATCAGATTTTTTGTAGTACGCACCCCCTCGGAGGGGTGCGTCCGACGACCCTTATTTAGATAGGGAAAGTAGGTCCAGTGGCACCTTGTTTTAAAGGTCTTTCGAATACCTTTACATCTCTGTTTAAAGAAAATTTTTGTAAGGATTAGTTTTCGAGATATTTTGAAGATTCAAAGGTATTTTTATTGAGTTCAACTCTTTTTAAAATAAATCAAATTACGTTCAGAACTTTCATAATAAAAATTAATTTTTGCTTTTTATGACAAGCTGCCAATACGTGTCCATTTGATTTCGTAAAAAAGTGAGAATTATTTGTTTATTACGAGGTAAATTGAGTGGCACCTCCTTATGAAGGTTGCCTTTTGACGTAGATATTGTATGCTTCTCATAAAAAAGTGAATCATACTAAAAACTTACCTACACAACGAATACAACCTGCTGATTTCCTTGAATGCTGATGACACAGAAAAGTTTAAAAAACTGTTTTAGGGTTAATAAATCTCAATAATTGTTTTTAAA